GTTCGTTATGCTTCAGAAGATTGGAGACTGACGAGAATTAGGCTTGAGATGGATTAATGATTGTGCATTGAGCATTGACTCCCCTATACAGAATTTTATTGTCGTTAACAACCATTTGATCAATAAATATGAGAGATGCCCTCTCAAAAAAAAAAGATGCTTGGTATTTAAAAGATGACAAATAGTAGAACAGTAATTAATAAAGATGGAAAAATTAAACATCAGTTCTTCAAAATAGGGAAATATGTGCTTACATGAAGATGGAATAGTTAAAAAGGAGCTAAGGGAAAAAGAAATACTGAATCTGGATGAAGAGTCAGAGGTGAATGTAGGTGATGTGTCTTAGAGCTCAAGAGGAAATAAAGACAACTACACAGATTAGCAAAAAGTACAAGCAAGAAGGATGTGAAAATTGATAAACAAATAATTTTTTAGGTGAAGATAAGGCAGATGAAAGCAAATTTTCTCTGTAAATAATAAAGATTTGAAGTCGTCGGCTTGAAGGTGGTGGAAGGAAATGGGATTTAAGAGAGAAAGGTGATGGTCATCATGAAACATGAACCAGTTAGAAGATGATGCATGTAAAATAGAATTGTCAAACTGCGGTAAAAGCTACGATTTAGCTAAAGCACCAAATCTTGAATGAGGCTACATTTGTTCAGTTTTAGGATGACATTCTAAAAATTATCCCAGCAAAGATGTGAAGCAGGTGGAAATTATGTTAGTTAAGACCCTTACAATCTTAAAGTAAGTACTGTTATTATCCACATTCTACAGATGAGGAAATTGAAACACAGTGTTAATAAGGAATTTGCCTACAGATACTCTCCTAGCAAGTGGTGTTGCAGTTTGAATTTGAACAAAGGTTAATCTGACTCCAAAATTCATGTTCCTTATCACCAAGCCTGGCACACCGAAGACATTTATTGGATTCGTTTTAAATGACTGAATATATATCATTAATTATGGAAGTACAATGCAGTGGAGATTGGGCAGTAAAGATTAACTAATAATTAAAGGTAGTTTTTGATTTGTTAGAGAAGAAAACTGAAATATCATTGCTACAACTTTTTTTTTGAGGATTCATTTTGATTTTATTACACATCATAGATATGTTCACTATCCAGAGCAGGATGATTCTCTGTACTCTAAAGATCACAGGAAATGTTATTTCCACCTCTTCTTTTTTCCTCTGATATTGGAGTGGTATTTCAGATTATTATTTTGGGATTAGTTTAGTGCAAAATAAAAGAAACCATAGAAGGCAGTGTATAAATGACATCATTATGAAGCTATTTTTGTAACTTTGTAAGAATAACAAGGCTGTGTAGTATTCTAATGCTGATACTAAGGTACTTATATTTTGAGCATATATTACTAGAAAACAAAGAAAAACCAAAAAAGTGAAGAGTGGTCCTTAATAGTCTTCCATTCTTGTTTCTAGTTCCCTCTGACCCCCCATTTCACAGCGCCTGTGAAAAAAGCACAAGTCCTTGCATACTGAACATCTTTTCTTCACCCAGAGAAAGTAGAATATGCAACCACCTCCACTACTTGGCAATGTGTGCTTTAATAATCATGGCTACTTTTGGCATTGATGGAGTATGAGTTTCTAAAAATTCCTAATACCTGACCTAACCAGTTATTTACCTTGGCTTTACGTACTATATAGGTGAATCTCTGGAAAGTATACTCTTATATTCCTGGTCCAAATTAAGTTTAGCAAGGATATATTAGACATTGTTTACACATACACCAAAGGAGATTTTTTCCTTGAAGTTTTTTGGCAGGGAGGAGGGAAACACATATTCAACTTCAATTCTGAGGTAGTTAATAAGATAGTAATGAGAAAAACACAAGATCTTCTAGGATCTAACTTTTGTCTATATTTCTGGGCTTATGTCTTAATACTCCCCAAGTGGCACAACAAATGAGGTACTCAGAATCCCTAACATACCACTGGTGCTTTTGCATAATGCTTTTAAATTCAGCTTAATCAGTTTCTCTGGAAGAAGTTCATATCCCTGAGTTGTCACCCTTCTTTTATTTTTTCTAGAATCCTGGCATTACCTCAGTAATATATGCCATCACACTGTACTTTGTATAAATAACTTCATCTCTCTCACCAACTACATTATAAACACTAGAAGGAAGAAACTGTGTATCTGTCTTTCTTAAATGATAATATACCATATGTACTCTAGAAATGCTTCTTGAAACAACGGTGAAATATAAATACTCTATTTACAAGTGCTAGCTACGTCTTTTTCACAAAACTATGCAGAGATCTGTTCAGTATGACTTTGTAAACTTGGTAAGTTACTTCATTCAAACCTCTGTTTTGTCCTAAGATTAAACTAGAATGATTCATATATTACTACAATGGAGTCTATTACAAATTACGTATTACTATTATCCCCAGCATGAACAGGCTACTGTTAATTTGAACATGTAAAAACACTCACAAAAGTGCTTGGCATGGCAGCAAAGGCATTAACAATACATGGTACTTGAATCTAAACTTTTAAGCTACAAAGGGAATTCAACAGACTTAGTGGCCTTTTGAGTGACCATCTTTTAAGCCTCCCTGGGATGTTGACATGCTCCTGCCATTGACACAGCTAAGGCCAATTGAGGTCTAATTATCAGCATGAAGCAAATTCCAGGAGAGATGGAATCAAGATTCTGGAGCCAGGAAGGAGGTTAGGGAGAGTATTTGATCCTAGCAAGCTGTGAACTTGAGTACCTATCACCCCATCCAGCCCTATGATGAGACTATGTGACAGAGGTAGTCCATCTGATGTTTATATTGATCCTTAATCCTCTTCTGCATCCTACCATCCTACCAAGACCACAAACGAGTATCTGAATTTTCTGTGGGCTTAGAACTACCTACCTATACTGCCCTTTTGGTTAGAGAACAAGATTCAGTGACAAGTCTTAAAAGAAAAAAATACATTGAAGAAAATGCCAACTGCTTTTCTTCATAGAATTCAGTGTCTTTTTCCCTCCTCCCAAAGAGCTATTTCAAAAGGTCACTATGTCTGAGGTCAGAAATAAGCTGCATTCTATTCTGTTCAGTATATGTACCCAGTACAAATTTACCTTACCACAAATTTTCCAAAGAAATTATTTCTGCCTCTACTTTCCATTACTTCCTCTGAAATGCCAAATTAATGTCATGTCCCAGAGTTTATTATCTAAAATATTCTTTCCTTGTTCATATTACATTTGTGTTAGCATATGAAGAACCAGTTGACATAGCTTTTGGAAAGTCTAGTTGGCAGCAGAGTCAGACAACAGATGGTCACTCAGAAACTAGACACAGAAAGGTGACTTACTGTGCATGTGTATGCTGGTAAGAGTCCTGTTTTGGGGATACCCTGAAAATCCTTGACTTAATACAAAGCTCGAGTGACAGGTCAGAGTAGAACGATCATCATAACCTGATTCCCTGTCTAAGGCAAAATATACCACTTTTAACAGGCCGCAGACATGCCAGAAACGTAAAACAAATATGCTGACAGCCCACTGCAGCTTTTATCCTTTACAAAAAAAAAGAAAGAAAGAAAGAAAGAAAGAAAGCAGGCAATGCATAAAAAGCTTTTCCTATCAGTCCTTTCAAGTATTTTAAAGTGGTCTTCAAAAATAGGTGGCTTTCAGTTCCGTATTTTGTTTCTGCAAAAAGGGCAACTAGGAGACTCACTTTAAAATAATTCTAAATAATTTTCTTTTCTTAGAAAGAGTATCTTCTTTTCACCTTAGTGTGGAATTAATAGCTGACAACAAAATCTAATTAACACTATTTATAAAGGGCAATTATTAGCTAAGATACTTAAATTCCTCTTAGCTTTGAAATTTTAATTGGATTTTGGTTGAACTTTAAGAAATATTAACCATAAACTAAAAGTAAATGCTCTACTGCAAAATTTGTAAGTCACACTCCCAATGTTTTTCTTGCCTTGATGAAAATTATTGAAAGTCTGAATTTACTACCAAAGCTCAAAGAGACTTATGACATGGTTTAAAACTAAGCAGATCTGAAAACTGTTTGTCATCACCTATTACACAAGAGATTCCAGTTCAAGTTGATAGAAAAAACAAACCAGATTTAAAGTGCTGTATTAAATAACAAACAAAAAATACAATTTGCATTTTGGGGCAGTTGAAGTAAGTGAAGACCTGACATTGAAAAGAATAAGAAGCACATACAGGATTATCATTCTGTAATTGTTCTCTTTTGCTCTTTTCATTCTAAGAATGTAATCTTACTCAGAAAATGAGAATTAGGTGGTCAAATTTATACTTAGGACATTTATACATACTTAACCAGAGAGGTTTCAGAGGCTCTACTATACCAGTCGGCAATTCTAAACTCTTTTATGTTAAATATGAACATTTTCCCAATACTACTCTTAAGTCACATCTCTTTCATCTTCCTCCTTAAGAACTGCACAGGCTTTTTAAAAATAGTTTAAACACCTGTAACACACAACAGGGTTTGTTAAGAGTAGAGGTACTTTGGTTCATGCTCAAGACGGTGTGACCAGAGGGAAAGCAAGCATTATGAAACATGAATGCCATCTTTACCAACACAAATTGAACTTCTGTTTAATAAAAAAGTAGTACAAAAATGGGTCTCATCCTATAAAGATTTATCATTTCCAAATCACAGTGAAAGGAACTTGAGTTATTTATCAATTTTGTTTTCTACTATTTACCTTATAAAAACTTGGATCTGACAAAGAGAATGACATTTGCAGGCTATAGTATTGTAGTGACAGTACTGAGGTTGATTGTTACAGATGTATTAGGCTCTCTGAGCATTAAATAGTTACACCCTAATTATTTAGAGAGAACATTGATCCAGTAACAAAAATAGAGAACAGCAGCTGGAAATTTATCTCACTCAATGTTCAGAGATAAAAGAGTTAACCATTTTTTTCCATTATTTCCTGCAGATGAGTCCTTTTTTCATATTGAAGCATGATGGTGATTAAATTCTGATCCTTTCCCAAACTACTGCACGAAGAGGATGCTGAAGGCCATCACTATACAGCAGACTGCAACATACGGACTCTTGCATTCACCAATTCTGGCACACTTCCAAAATACACCCAACAATCCAGTTTTATTTCTGTCTAGGAGGCTGGGTGCCAAGGATCGGATATAAGCACAGGTACATATAAGCAGCAAGATTACAGTCAACAGACTCTGAAAATTGAAAATGGCAGACAGAGTGAGGCCGGTGGAGCCCCAGCCACATCACCCTTCCGGGCCCAGGGCAGAAGAGGCGTGCCTCATTGCTGCAACTTTTCTCAAATATTTCAATTGCTTTCCAAACTTCTCTTAGGACTTGAAAATGCTAACATAAGCTTAGGTATATTTAGAAAATAATCTATGGAATCTGTATCAAAAGGCTTCCCAGAGTAAAAATATGTATTTCCTTAATGATTGAAGATATTTATATTTCTGCTATACTTATAAAATAAAAACTGTTTGTATATATAATCAGATAACGTCTGGGTCTAATATATCTCCCAGAAATATTAATTTTAACAGTTATAAAATGTACAAATATATGCATAGTCCTTTCAAAAACAAAATATAGAGTATTTACTTAGTTGTTACTACTACACATACAAACTGAAAGCAATTATATGCACACAAACACATACACACATAACTTGCACATATGCTTGTGAATAAACACACACAAACACATGGACCTTACAAAGCATTTAAAGAACTATTGTTCATAGGTTTCATAGGTAGGTCTTTCAAGCTACACTTGCACAGAAATATAATACTTATCCTTAGTAAATTATGTTCATATACAAACTAAATAAAACTATTCATCTGATACTTGAAAAAATAGAGAAAATATTTAAACTTTTTCTCTGGGATTAAGCTAAATACTTTTCATGAAAAGTTAATTATGTTAGATCACTAAAGTGATTACATAGTTAATGGACAATAAGAATAAGAAGTATGTACAGAAAAGACCCACCATTCCTAACATTAACTTCTAAAAGTTATCCTCCACAGGTTTTTAATATTCTACTCTCTGATTACAAGAATAGAGAACACATTTTTTGTTTTAGTTTTGTTTGATTTTGCTAATAAGAGAAGAGATATAGTCACTCTCTTTTCCCATCTTACATTACAAATAAATTTGGTTAGTAGAGATATGCATCAAGGCATATATTACTCCAAAACTTAATGAGTAGTTCAGCTACTGAGAATGACCAAAAATAAGAGGCCAACCTCTTAAAATAATTAATCACTAAGTATATATTAATACTAAGTAGTAATTTTTAGCAAATAAGCAAATAAATACTTCTTGTTCAAACAATTATTATTCACTAATCCAAAGGGATATGAACCAGTACTTGGAAACAACAGCAGCAGTAGAAAGAAAAATCCTCAAAATTTAGTAGATACTTATGGAATAGGGTGGAAAGTAGGAAGAATTAAAATTTTCTGAAAAAAAATTTGTCTGAAATATGGCACAATGAGAAAAGAACAACCAAACAATAAAGGGAAAAATGTTCAGGGTTCCATTTTCATTTAATGCATATTAGAACATTGTTTTTCTGAGTTTTTCAGGGTAGAGTTCACTGAAGATTTAATCTTTTTTTTTTTTTTGAGGAGCCATAGTTCTCCACTCAAGCATACATTATATAAAAATAAGAGACCAGAGATTCATAAAAGTTCATTGGGGGTAAATAAACTCGAAGATGAAATTAAAACTGTACCTAAAGACATGACATTTGAGAATATAGAGGAAAATTGTCTCATAAAATCAGAAAAGCTACTAGATGTTTTTGCCAATGTTTACTTAAGCTTTGATATATTTGAAATGAAGGATATGTCCTTAAAATGTTTTAGTGATTTAATTTGATAATGGTCAATAATTTAATGTAAATAGTCAAGTTATCTTTGGAGAAGCATCAAAAACATGTATTTATCAATGACCGATCCTTAAGAAGTATTTTAATATAACCGATTGTATTTTAGTGAATTATGACCAGTTCTTCAATTTAAAAATATTCTTACTATTGCATTTGCATGTCAAATACAAGTACACATTCATACATTGCTTCAAATTCTATGTTTAATATAAATTCACTACTCTAAATTTTATTCTCTCATTCATTGATAATGTTACATGTGAAAAAGTTCTTTACACTTTAATCAACAAAAATATATTTGTTGTAATATATTTTGTTACAGATAATTAATAGATACAAAATCAGAGCAAAATTTATTTCTGTAAATTAAAGTTGCTTTTTAGTTAAAGATATTTATTTTATATTTATTTATTTTTTCATTTTGTATCAGAAATTTATTCAGATTTTCAACTCTCTTTGAGTCAGTTTGGGTAACTTGTGTACCTCTGGGAATTTATTCATTTATCTTCTTTTTTTTCATTTTTTATTAAGGTATGATTGATATATACACTTAAGAAGGTTTCACATGAAAAAACAATGTGGTTACTACCTTTACCTATATTATCAAGTCCCCACCCATACCCCAATGCAGTCACTGTCCATCAGTGCAGCAGGATGCCACAGATCCACTATGTCCCTTCTCTGTGATACACTGTTCTCTCCATGATCCCCCACACCATGTGAACTAAACATGATACCCCTCAGTCCCCTTCTCTCTCCCTTCTCCCTCGCCCTCCCACACCCCTCCCCTATGGTAACCACTAGATCATTCTTGGAGTCTGTGAGTCTGCTGCCATTTTGTTCCTTCAGTTTTGCTTCATTGTTTTACTCCACAAATGAGGGAAATCACTTGGCATTTGTCTTTCTCCGCCTGACTTATTTCACTGAACATAATGTCCTCCAGCTCCATCCATGGTAGGGTTTGTTTCTTTCTTATGGCTGAATAGTATTCCAGTGTACCACCTCTTCTTTATCCATTCATCTACAGATGGACACTTAGGCTGTTCCATATCTTGGCTATTGTAAAAAGTGCTGCAGTTAAACATAGGGGTGCATATGTCTTTTTGAATCTAAGTTGTACTCTTTGGTTATATTCCAAGGAGTGGGACTCCAGGGTGAAATGGTATTTCAATTTTTAGTTTTTTGAGGAACCTCCATATTGCTTCCCACAATGGTTGAACTAGCTTACATTCCCACCAGCAGTGTAGGAGGGTTCCCCTTTCTCCGCATCCTTGCCAGCATTTGTTGTTCTTAGTCTTTTCAATGCTGGCCATCCTTACTGGTGTGAGGTGATATATCATTGTGGTTTTAATTTGCATTTCCCTGATGATTAGTGATGTGGAGCATCTTCTCATGTGTCTGTTGGCCATCTGAATTTCTTCTTTGGATAGCTGTCTCTTCATATACTCTGCCCATTTGTTAATAGGGTTATTTGCTTTTTGGGTGTTGAGGTGTGTAAGTTCTTTATATATTTTGGATGTTAACCCCTTGTCGGATATGTCATTTATAAATATATTCTCCCATACTGTAGGATGCCTTGTTGTTTTGCTGATGATGACCTTTGCTGTACAAAAACTTTTAGTTTGATGTAGTCCGATGAGTTCATTTTTGCTTTTGTTTCCCTTTCTCAAGTAGATGGGTTCAGAAAGAAGTTGCTCATGCTTATATTCAGGAGATGTTTGCCTATGTTGTCTTCTAATAGTTTTATGGTTTCATGACTTACATTCAAGTCTTTAATCCATTTTGAGTTTACTTTTGTGTATGGGGTTAAACAATAATCCAGTTTCATTCTCTTGCATGTAGCTGTCCAGTATTGCCAACACCAGCTGTTGAAGAGGCTGTTATTTCCCCACTGTATGTCCATGGCTCCTTTATCATATATTAATTGACCATATAAGGTTGGGCTTATATCAGGGCTCTCTAGTCTGTTCCATTGGTCTATGGGTCTGTTCTTGTGACAGTACCAAATTCTCTTGATTACTGTGGTTTTGTAGTAGAGCTTGAAGTTGGGGAGCATAATTCCCCCTGCTTTATTCTTCTTTCTCAGGATTGCTTTGGCTATTCGTGATCTTTTGTGGTTTCATATGAATTTTACGATGATTTTCTCTAGTTTGTTGAAGAATGCTGTTGGTATTTTGATAGGAATTGCATTGAATCTACAGATTGCTTTAGGCAGGATGGCCATTTTGACAATATTAATTCTTCCTATTCATGAGCACAGTATATGTTCCCATTTATTTGTTGATCTTTAATTTGTCTCGTGAGTGTCTCGTAGTTTTCAGAGTATAGGTCTTTCACTTCCTTGGTTAGGTTTATCCCTAGGCATTTTATTATTTTTGATGCAATTGTTAATAGAATTGTTTTCCTGATTTCTCTCTCTGCTACTTCATTGTCAGTGTATAGGAATGCCACAGATTTCTGTGTATTAATTTTGTATCCTGCAACTTTGCTGAATTCAGATATTAGTTCTAGTAGTTTTGGAGTGGATTCTTTAGGGTTTTTTATGTACGATATCATCTCATCTGCAAACAGGGAGAGTTTAACTTCTTCCTTAGCAATCTGGATGCCTTTTATTTCTTTGTGTTTTCTGATTACCCTGGCTAGGACCTCCAGTACTATGTTGAATAGAAGTGGGGAGAGTGGGCATCCTTGTCTTATTCCCAATCTTAAAGGAAAAGCTTTCAGCTTCTCACTGTTAAGCATAATGTTGGCTGTGTGTTTGTCATATACGGCCTTTATTATGGTGTGGTACTTGCCCTCTATACCCATTTTATTGAGAATATTTATCATGAACCTATGTTGAATTTTGTTGAATGCTTTTTCAGCATCTATGGAGATAATTATGTGGTTTTTGTCCTTTTTGTTGATGGGGTGGATGACGTTGCTGGATTTTTGTATGTTGTACCATCATTGCATCCCTGAAATAAATAAGACTTGATCATGATGGATGATATTTTTTATGTATTTTTGAATTCAGTTTGCTAATATTTTGTTGAGTATTTTTGCATCTGTGTGCATCAGGGATATTGGTCTGTAATTTTCTTTTTTCTGTCGTGTCTTTGCCTGGTTTTGGTATTAGAGTGATGCTGGCCTCATAGAATGAGTTTGGGAGTATTCCCTCCTCTTCCGTTTTTTGGAAAAAGGAGAATGGGTATTATGTCTTCACTAAATGTTTGATAAAATTCAGCTGTGAAGCTTTCTGGTCCTGGAGTTTTGTTCTTAGGTAGGTTTTTGATTACCAGTTCAATTTCGTTGCTGGTAATTGGTGTGTTCAGATTTTCTGTTTCTTCCTTGGTCAGCCTTGGAAGGTTG